ATTACTTATCCTAATCTAATCTACCCATAAAGTGTAAGTAGGGCTAAAGGAGCCAATAAAGACTATAGAAAAAGACATTAGCCCAAGCTTTTGGTTGAGAATGTGCTTAGTAGTGGCTTTTAGTCATTTTTTTCAAGCTTTCACACGACAAATCTTTAGCTAGCCGCCATGCTAATTGTCCAATTCCCTTTGGATCAAATAATTCATTTATTTATTTATTAATGCTGATTTAATACAGAGAGAAGGGGAAAATAAGAATCACCTTGAAGAGGATATGAAAAGATAAATTACCAAAAAGAATGTAAGTCAACGAACATTATTGCCATAGCTAAAGTGCAAATTTCATGAAGCAATGAGAGTTTTCATGATTCATTTTTATTTCATTCTGAAAAAAAATATATATAATATTTTTTCATAGGCAGGTTATTACTTAGCATGAGTCTAATTCAGAATCTATCTGGTAATTTTCTTAAAATGACAAGAGTTTCCCATGACAAGTGATGATGATGTGAAATTCTTTATTTTTCTTAGTAAAGACGAAAGATAAAAGTCGTTTTTGTAATTAGTTTAATACTGATTTTAAAATTTTTTACACACACCAATTATTTAAGGAAAAAACATTCATTGGTGCAGCAGTAGATTTCTTGTCTGAAAGGGTGAAAAACGTGGTTTCGAAATGGACGGACAAAAAGATTTAAGATAATCATAAATTTTGACCAATAATCCATCCCAACCGTCCATGCGTCCAATATTTTAATTTTAAAAGGTAAAATGAGAAAAAGAAACCGGCAGTCATTAGCTAGGAGGATGAAAAGTAAAAAACTTCCTAAAATTACACGCACCCACGGTGAAATTATATGTTAAACTAATAATAAAGTACACCTTGCATAGTGTACCTATAGAGTATAGCCTAAAGCAATTATAGTTAACTATGTAACCATCTATTTAATATTTTTATTTTCAAATAACATAAATAGCATTATAATATTACAGGTTATACATTTGTAATTTTATTCAAATAGTATGATGAATTGACCTACGTAACCATTAAGTCGTAGGATAGCGAGACTCGTATTAGTTTAATTATGTTACATATATAATAATGCATACAAGCATAATAAAACACCTGAAATAATAACGTGCAAGTAGAAATATTATTCGAGCCATGTTGATAATCAGTGTTTCGTGTCAATTGAGTCGGCTCGAATTGGCTAGTAAACGAACGATAACATTTCGACTCGTTTAATAAGCCCAAAATCCTGACTACCTGGTTGTAAGCACCAATTATTTGTACGAACAAGTATATCCTGACTATTTCATGTAAATCGCGTAAAAATAAGTAGAGTCTATAAACCATATCCACTCGGCTCCTCTAATAAATGAGCATGATTTATTGTTTGAGCTTGAAAAGTTAAACAGAACAATTAATCAAGCCCAAATTTTCAAAACATGAAGCAAATTGTATTCGTGAACAACTCGAAAACAACTGTGGTGGATTGGAGCACACAAATCACACACTATACAGTGGAGTTTTCTTTTTAGAGCCAGATGAAGTGCACTGTAGTAATCCCTAATTAAATAGTTTATAAATAACTTGATTGGCTCAGCTCGTCTAATAAATGAGCATGATTAATTGTTTGAGCTTGAAGCAGCTCGTCTAATAAATGAGCATGGTTAACTGTTAGATCTCGAAACATTAAACTAACAAGAAAATCAAACCCAAACTTTCGCGAAACTAAACAAACTGTATTCGTAACAACTATGGTGGATTCACACACACGAATCACATATTATAGAGTGGGGTTTTATCTTGGAGCCAGCTGAAGTACACTATATATAGTAATCCCTAATAAAAAAGAGTCGATAAACCAACATCTAGTAGATGAGCATGATTAATTGTTCGAGCTCGAAACATTAAACTAAACAAGTAAATTAAATCCAAACTTTTGCTGAACGAAATGAATTGTAATCACGAACAACTTGAAAACTAAATGTTGGTGTGGATTGACACACACAAATCACACACTATACAATGAGTTTTATTTTGTAGCTAACTGAAGTGCACTATATTTAGTAATACCTAAAAAAAAGAAAAAAGAGTTTGCAAATTAGATCGACCTCAGCTCATCAACATGATTAACTATTCGAGCTCGAAACGTTCAACTACACAAGTAAATTAAATCAAACCCAAACTTTCCCGAGATGAAAAGAAACTAATTGTATTCGCGAACAACTCAAAAACTAACTGTTGTTGTGGATCTACACACACAAATCACACACTATACAATGAAAGTTTTATTAATGGAGCCAGCTGAAGTGCAGTGTAGTAAGTTACTAGTAAGTAATCCCTAATAAGAAAAGACCCCACGGGTGGGGGCTTCTATTTTTCCTGCTAAACATTTTATTCATCTTTTTCTCCATTAATAGGTCCCCACCCCACCACCATTTGGACCCCTCCTCTCTCTCTCACACACAGTGCACTGATTCTCTTTTGGTATTTGCTTTTCTATTGGCTCCCACCCACATTTCACACACAATCCCTTTGTATTCTCTCTCTCACACACACAGTTCCTTTCTCTCTCCAAAGACAGCAGTCAACCACAAAGCAAGAAAGAGAAAAAAGGAAGAAGAGAGTATCCCCACCAAGTTACTCCCACTTGTTGAGTTGGCTCAATAGACTTTGCACACAAATTATAAGCTTTATCTCTCTACCAAAACTTCTCTCTCCTCCCTTCGCTTTAGTAAACTTCTTCAATTTGACAACAAATTCAAATTGGGCCTATCCTCACAACATTTTCTTGAAATTGATTTAAGAAAAGAAAAAAAAAATAAACCAATTGAGTCTCTCAATCCCCAAAAGAATGGAATTTATGGAGCCACACCCCAAAACCCAAGGTGGAGCCACCTCGAATAATAACAACAGCAACAATAGTGCCGACCACCACCGAGAATCCTCCTCCTCCGCCGCCGCCGCCGCCTCCTCCGCCTTACAACTGGTCTCCACCCATCACCACCAAAGTCAACCCGACCCGGGCCCCGGGTCCGGCCCATTCATGGGCTCCATCTCCATGCAACCACAACCACAACAACAACAATCAAGAAATCTGACCCCGTCCACCACCACCGCCGTCGTCGCCGTCACCGCCGGCGACGGATCCGCTGTCGCCGGAAAGGCCGTTAAAAAGCCCTCCAAGGACCGGCACACGAAGGTGGACGGCCGGGGTCGGCGCATCCGGATGCCGGCCCTCTGCGCCGCCCGGGTCTTCCAGCTGACCCGCGAGCTCGGCCACAAGTCCGACGGCGAGACCATCGAGTGGCTCCTCCACCAGGCGGAGCCGGCCATCATCGCCGCCACCGGCACCGGCACCATCCCCGCGAACTTCTCCACCCTCAACGTCTCCCTCCGAAGCAGCGGCACCACCATCTCCGCCCCGCCCTCCAAGTCCGCCCCACTCTTCCTCGGCGGCGCCGCCGCCAACATGCTCGGCTTCCACCACCACCACCAACACCAACACCACCAGTTCGTTCCCTCCGCCGCCCCCCCGCCCTTCGCCATCGACCCGGAAGACGGCTCCCCCTCCGGCGCCTACATGAAGAAGCGCTTCCGGGAGGACGCCACCGGCGCCACGTCGCCCAAACCGGGCCCCGACGGAAAACCCGACCTGGCCCAGCCGTCGAGCTTCATCCCGGCTCAGACCATGTGGGCTGTGGCCCCAGCCGCCACGAACGTCGGGAACGCCTTTTGGATGCTCCCCGTCACCGGAACCGGCGCCGCCGCCACTGCAGCGGCCACCGTCGGGCAGCAGGATTGGCAGTACAAGGCTTCCTCAATTCAAAGGATGGGCGGGTTCGAGTTCCCAGGAACCGGCCGGTTCAACCCGGTTCAGCTCGGGTCAATGGTTCTCCAGCAGCATCAACAGCCGGCTCAGCAATTGGGCTTAGGCGTAACTGAGACGAACATGGGAATGTTAGCCTCCATAAACGCGTACAACAACAATAATAACAACAATAACAGTAATAATCGAATCGATTTAGGAATGAATTTGGAGCACCATCACCACCGACACCACGACTCGAGCCAACGACAAAATAGCGACAACGAAGAGGAAGATCGCCATAAAGACTCGTAATTTTAAATTTCGCGCAATAAATCGAGTTTGATTTGGGTTTAATAAGTAGCTAATTAATTAGGTTGGTTTGCACCAAGTTTTTATTTTTTTATTTTTTATGTATTTTTTTTCTTCAATTTCTTGCTTGGCTTGTGATTGTAGTATTATTCTTACTTGGTTAGCTTAGTTAGGTTGAAATTAATTTGCAGATTGTGTGGATAGCTTTGAATTAATAATTTTTGGCCTCATTTTCTTGTGCTTATTATTAGGATTATTATTGCTACCATTTCAAGACCCCCTTTTTTAGCCCCTTTTTCTTATGAAAAAATGTGTTTCAAGTTTCAACTTTCAAAGCATCTCAATTTCAGCAAATTTAATATCAACACATATCCATTGATTTGCCTATGATCTCTGATGTGGCTTTGGTCAACTCTGATTGGCTTTGGTCAACTGTCAATGGGTTTTGTCTTAAATTGATAGTACTTCTTGAATTAGGCATGTTTGTACTATATGTGAGCATCAATTTTTGAGCAAATAGGATAGGGTTTGGAATAGAAAAAAAGGAAATAGGGTTTTGTGATATTGATGCAACTTGGT